TGGGAATGTACCACGTCCACGGTTCAACTTTGGAAATGATCCTGCAGACAATGGACTCCGGACTAGGTGCGTTCCTCTAAGCCTTCCTACCAATATGACCACACCATCTTAGTCTTCATACCTTAAAAAGCTTATGCTTCTCAGTCTGATAACTTTCCTCTAATTTTTGAATAGAAGCATGATAAATCATTTCATTAACTGTCTGAATGACACTCCCTTATTAGGTTGCGGAACGTAAATAATAGGATTGAGAGGCAACAAAAGCATAATGAAGTAACGTTAAAAAATAAGATAATAGAGGCGAAGAGTATACCGGATCAATGGAAATATTAGAGAATGAAATATGGTTTATCGAGCCAAACTTTGCATCACTAGAATACACTTCCCAATCCGGATTTAAAGCACGGACTAAGGGAAAGATCAGAAATGTAATGACACCCGGTTATGCTTTGTGACATGGTATATAAGCTACATATATTCTAAATATAAATCGAACGGAATGCAAGAGGTAGATATAAAGGTGGAGTTGCATACCATTTACCTAGAAAAAGTAACAATGGTTATAAGCGGTGAAAAATGAGTGATTTCGCAGAGGAATAAAGATTGTTTAAGCAAATTGGACTACATCGGCGACAAACAGATTGAAATAATGAGATAAATATAAAACTCACGCGTCAAAGAATTGAAGAGCGTCATGCAGCCTGGATAAGCAAGCTTAATGCCGACAGTATGGGCGATGAGCCAACTGTAAAAAGATAGGCGTAAGAGACAAATCTAATTTATTTAATTTTATTTTCTTAGTCATTTTCAACATACTTAAACGGATGCATAAAGGATGGAAGCCCCGTATCCCTCGGCTCAATATCAATTCTCTGCCTGGGAAATGATTTGAGAAGTTCTTGAGCACAGAACTCAGAAGGCCAAGGCCCAGAAAAGTAGTAGGAAGTAAGGGATTCCTAAGTGAATTAAGATTAATATGTTGGAATGTACTATCAATCTTGTGTCACGCACAGCTGAACCAAACAATGTAATAAACTGACAGTAAATTGGGTTTCTAGTTCTTCCTAAGCCTATTTCATTATCTTAGAATGATATATTAATACCTCTGAGAAATATACAGATCCAATATATGCTGAAGGCAGAACCAAAAAGCAGTGCATAGATGACCAACGAGGGCGAGTTTCTTGCTGGAATTGTCTAAACTTTATTGTTGTGTGCTATAAACTTACCCTTCCTGATAGCCCATGGAGCCCAAAATAGAATTGTCCATTTAATTATCCCCAGGCAAGTGTGGAAACAATTAATGATAGTAGAAGGATGTTTTTCTAATAAGTTATGCTCATACAATTTCATCTGGAAAATGATAAAAATATGACCGCACCTTTCCATCATTT